CACGTTTTTAGAATTTTTGAAATACATTTAAATTAAATAATAGACTCTTTTTAATGAACAGATTCTTTTTAATTTTTCTTAGGTAAATTAAAATGTATATTTTCATAATAATAGTACACAATGAAAATATTTGTTTCTCACTTTTGATATATTATCAATGACGCGACTGTTGAACCAATATTTATTACATATTTCATCATACTATTTTCATTATTATATTGTTATTAATAATAATCATTTTAATATAGTATATTGAACATAATATATAAAAAATAATATATTGAAAATAATTTTATACCTCGCTATTTTTACGTTTTTTAAAAGTAATTTCATTTTTATTGTCAATTTGTTTTTCATTTTGTTGACCGTTCTGCAATTGCTTTAATTGTGTTTGAAAGGCATTTTCAATAATTTCTCTGACATTCGTATTAATAATATTATCTTCAGGTTCCTGGTTATTTTGTTTATTCCATTCCGAGATTTCATCTATTCGACAATTAAAGTAACCAGGTTCACATGTCACAGACTTCGTCGATCTTTTAGTCTCGTATTCGTATCGGTTGATTTCCAAAATTTGATTTACGCAATCATGTATCAGATCATTGCTCGATAGCTAATCATTTTTTAAATAATATATTAAATTTTTCTATGTTAAAATGTAATGTATCCTAGGGCCAGTATTCCTCACATACCTTGTTAATTATAGACGGGAGCGACTTATTGGAGAGCTTTGCACTTTCAGTGTCCACATCTTTTACATCTTTGAAGGTCGTGAATCTAAGCCTCTGTTTCTGTTTTCGCTCCTCGAGGCTGCGCCAGCGAGTATCGAGAAGCCGGACGTCTTCAAGCCAAGCCTGCACTCTGCTTTCACCAGAAATGGCACGCGTCGTGGATAGCTTCGATGCCGAGTACCCGTGAGTGCAATCAGGACAACCCGCACAACTCAGCGATTTGGAACTTGGTCGCTCTGAAGATGATTCTTCTGGGATTTCTGACAGATAGATATTGATATTAATTATTAACATTGATTCTATATTCTTTGTAAATTACCGTTATACTCACGCTTATTAATGAGCTTTTGTTCCTAACAATGAATTGTTATTTGCTGTTCTTACACCTACACATTTTACCAATCAACCAATGTTAAGAAATTAATTTTTTTATGCTCATTTATTAATATGATAGAAATAATGAGCATTACTCAATATTTATCTTTGAAATGGTCAATCCTACATTAAATTCTACATTTTATAATAGAAATTATACCTATAATATTTATTTATAATCTATATATAAAAATATCAGTTGAATTTATTAAGTTTATTTATAAAGTTTTGTAAAATATTTATTACTTTTAAAGTGTATAAATTAAACTTATTTAATAATAAAAATAATATTATTATTATTATAATGATGATGACGGTGATAATAATATACATACCATGAAGTGTCGGAATAAAACGTTTAGCAGACATTTTTTGTTTGGCAATTGATATAACTTCTCGAATTTTGAGAAGAAAATCAACTGCTGCTGGAGGTGGAGCCTAAAACACACGTTTAATTAAATACATTTTTTATTTACTCTTTATTAGTATCCTATTGAATAAGTATTCTTTATACAGTAAACCATGAAATTTATCTATTAAATAATGAGTACTTACCAGTAGAAGCTGCCTTTCAAAATAAGCAGGATTAAAATAAAGTTTTCTTCTTTGCAGCCCTGGAAATAATGGCATATCCGATAGATTTCCATTTTCTATAGTTTCAATAATTCTAACATCTTCTTCGGGTAATCTCTCGCCAATAATCGTCCCTACATTACAATTTTGTTCTCTTGATTCAATAGAATCTTCATGTGGATGAATTATTGCCGATGTTATCTAAATGAATTTAATAATAATAATTATACATGTAATAAAATTTTATTTTGCACTGATATTAATATATTAAAAGTTTATACATTATTTTATTACTTATATATTTTAAAAGACATTGTTTTTAATTCGCCGATTATCATATATATTTTTATTTCATTAAAAAGATTACACGTTTTATAAAAATCGATTTAAAATAAAATAAAGTATAGGTTATTAACATATTATCATCAATTCAATATAAAGTTTTATATATTTAAAAAAAACAATAAAATGAAAAGATCAGATCTTAAATCATTATATAATTTTTTTTATATATATATAAGAAATTTCCATAAAATAAAATTCATTTAACATGCAAATTTGAATAGGAAAATCAAATAATAATTTAACAGTAAAATATAATTCGTGCAACTCATCGTGATAATGAGTCATATTTAATGAATTATGCAATTACACATAACAATAATAAATAATAATAGTTATAAATATACTCGCAGTTTGAATAAATATTTTATTGAAAGTTTTAGTAACGGTGTAATTAAAAATATGTTTTTTTACTGAAATTACTAAACAATTTCATATCTATAAAATTTTATGAAACAAGAATGCAGACAAATATTTTTATGTACTTTTTCAACTTCAGACTCGTCTTCACTTTGCAGTAGTTTATTGGCAATCTCAGCTTCACTGATGGCGCTGTTTCTGTCATTTTCGAAGTGTCGTGAAATCGACAACAAGGGATTACACTTGATAATGCTAGGAGTTTCAATATCACTAGTGCAACCCAAATAACCAATTTCGGGCTGCCTCTCCTCAACGGCTTTTTGGCGATTTTTGCGACTATGTAAATAAAGGGAGATACTTGCCACATAAATCAGAGCAAGCAATATCGATGATACACCGATTGCTGTATACTCTGCACTTGTAAGGCTTTGGGAATTTAGTAAATTTGTCGAGAAGGAAACCTCCTTTATACCTGTTTAGTAATATTGATAAAATGTTAATATGAAAAGGAAAAAAGCTTTAAAAAAAATTTTATCAAATTTTATTTCAATTTTTATATGCCTTAAAAATGTAAACGAATTTTCTTGTGTATATAATAAAAAAAAATTTATAAGCTTACTTTGATAATTTGTAAATTATTTAATACTACGTATAATACCGAATGAATATTACCACCTAATAATAAATGTTCGTACTTGAACAACATTATCATAATTTTTTATTGTACTTTATTTTCTGTCTTAAATAATAATTTGTTATTAACATTTTTTTTCTTATTTTATAATAAATTCAGTTTAGAATATTCTGCAGCTGTTTAATTTTAAATAATTTATGTCACATATATAATTATTTTCCATTTATAATAACCAATGTATAAAATATAGTAAAGAGTTATAGTCCAGGAAGGTAAAAGATTTATTTTTTATGTGGTTATAAAACACCACGTGACATTAATATTTAATAATCTACTTTTCATGAACATTGTTTTTAATTTATTGTAAAAATAAATATTACTGCTCATATTTGCAAAAGCAATTTGTTCAATACACTTAGAAACAAATACGTGCAGTGTTAATTAAATGAATAAAAAAAATCCAAATAATTTAATTTTATATAAGATTAACACGTAAACCAAAAGTAAGTTTATTTATGGATTTATCTACAGAACATAATTGAACTTACTATTTCTTGATGGTGTACCGGCTACTCGAAAGGCAACACACGGGGTGAAAACTCCTCGGTATGCTGTTGTCGGATAAGAATCTCTGCAAGCAAGTTTAACAACTACTATTTTTCCTTCAGCAGTCTCGCGTAATTTCATATCACCAGTCCACTGAAAAATTTTACTCATTACATTTTAGTTACTAATATTTTTTATGGTTTTTTAAATAATTATATTCTTTGTTCAATATATTATACGAATAATATATTAATTGTTGAATACTAATGTATTCTTAAAAGTGAATAAAAATCAAAATATTTCACATAGATCGTTTAAATTGTTTTCATACATATTGTTTTAATTAAAATTATTTTTATTATTATTATTTTTACAGTTTCTGATAATTTAAAATAAATATTTAATTATTTTACGTAATTGATATATTTAATTAGTATATACAATTGATTGATCTATTATAAAATAAAAATATTATATATGAGAGATTAATTTAATTTAATAAATTATTTTAATATTATAAGGAATTAGTATTTTATTTCAGTATATGTAAAGAAATTTTGTAAAATATTAATTAAAAAATGTATATTTTTATAATTTTTCAAATAATTTAATAATTTAAATGTATAATATTAAATATATTATATCATAATTATTTTCAGATAATAATGCATATAAAATAAATTAAAATGTATTTAAATAAGTAAGAATTTAAATAAGTAAGAATATTGTATAAACGGCATCTGTAGTAATTTATTTATGATCATATCAATGTATTTCAGAACATATATTATATATTTATATATCTGGCGTGTGTACTTTCTATCGATTTATGTATTTTTAAAATTATTTTAGTAGTAGTCACGACTGTTTATATGTCGGAGTACGTTAAAACTCTGACTTTGTCAAACTGAAGTTCAAGTTGAAGCCCTTTTCAGATTTACAAAAATTACTTTATTACATCTATTAAAATTATTTACATATATTTACATATATATACATAAACATGTATTTTAATTGAGATGATGAATTTTGTAATACTAATTAACAGGCGATAGAAGTTTAATTAGAGATAATGTAATAAATAATTTATTAATTATTAAATTATTAATCATTAAACATATAATTTAGAGATAATGTTTCAAATTCTTTCATTAATTATTAAAACAATTTACTTAATTTAATAAAAATTAAAAATTGATAACAATTCTATTTTTTACAATTTTTTTCATTCTTATTTAACTATCTATAAATTAGTATTTTTATATTTTAACATCAGCAATGTACGTTTAAAGAATTATATATATCATATATATATATTATATATCATATTTCTGTATTCTTTGTTTGCATTGAATTTTTATAGTTTTATATAGCTTATAAGCTATCCTACTTGTACGAATGGTTTAATATTACTTATTTTTATCAATAGAAGACTTTTTTTGCTATTAAAAAACAACAGTACATAAACTGAAATTAAAAGTTGATGACGTTTCTTGTACGGGTATGTAGGGTTAAATTTTATATTTTACTTACCCGAAGAAAGATATGTTGCTCGTCTTTATAAAAACTCAATGGAAATTCTACATCTGAAAGATTTCGCAGTTCTAACCAACCGCTTTTGCTTAATTGTTGGACTCCAGTTATTACACAGATTGGAGAGCTTTCTCCTATAAAAAATAGGACTAACTCATTTTTGCAAATTTTTCGAAGTCTATAATTGAAATACATTTTCATTGAATTTCTTTTATAAAAATAAATGTTATATATTCCTAGATTTTTTAATTATTCTTAAGGTCAATGGAAACCTTTTATTAATTCATTATAATATTTTATAAAAAGATTTGTTCAAAATTAGTATCAAATTAGTTTATAATCCATATTATTTTCTAATTTTATTTTACAAATATTTTTATACAAATTATGTCAATTAATTAAATAATGCTCAATATTTTAGTATAAATTTATAAATTATCATTATCATTATCTGGTCCTAAAATAATATATGGTTCTAAGAAAATATTGATGTTAAAAAAAAAACATGTATTAAAATAAACGGCTACGACGTTATAAAAACGCAATTACTATTACGAATTTTCTATAAATTTTACATTTATGTAGTATAAATTATTAAATGATTTAGAAACGTATTTATGAATGCTTGACATCTATTTTTGGAGTGTATTTTTAATCTTCTTAATATACAACATTATTAACATTAATTTCGTATTCAAAATTAAAATGGTACTTGTATATGGAATATACCATTAATTATTATTAAACTAAAATGATATTTTATATTATTTAAATAGTAAAATAAGAAAATTTGTGAAACTTATTGAAATTTTTAATTCATAAAAAATCTTCAGTTTACAAATGTTGTATTGTTTTTGAATTTTTTAATAAGATTTATTTTGATTTGCATTTTCTGACAATTAATTTTTACTTCATATATACTCATTTAATATATTACTTAATTTATTATGTGTATATTTATATGCAGTTTTTGTATATAATACTATTTAGAAATTAATAATATTTTACATATAATTTTAATATATAATATTTTAAAGAAATAAATTACATTTAAAAAATAATTAACTGATTCATTAGAAATATTGCCGAACTAATAGCATAACTATTAATTAGAATGTAGTAACATTGTAATTATCCTTTTTCTTACCTTCAAATTGAATATTCGCGTTTGGATATATAATTTGTCCATACTGTGGCAAGTAAATGTATGGCACCTTTTCAACTAAGCCAGAATTACTTACGAACCCAGCGACGTTACATTCTGTAAAGTAGATACAAATAATATTAATGTCGATGCATACGATAATATATGAAAAGTAATGGATGCACATAAATGGTGGAATATAAAGATGTAGATAGAGTACCATTTCTACTAGTATTTTTGAAAATCACTTATGCAATGACAATTTTTGCAACATATGTCCATAAGCAGAATAATTTTATATAATATTGAACATTAAGTATTTTATATTTCAAACTTTCAATTTTTATGAAGAGATTAGTAATTTTTAAAAAATAACATTAAAAGTCATATCTAGTTTTAATAAAAAAAATGTTTCATATACATATATATTTTTTTATTATTTATGCAAATAAGTTTTATTTTTATAACATAATAAAATTATTATTGAAGAAGTTTTAATTAATATTTGTTTATTAAAAGTAAGTGCAGTATAAGGAAATGTTCCTATTTCCTTTCTTTTTGCCTAATATTATAGAAATCTAATTCAAATTCAAAAGCAAACTAAACATCATAAAGTTTCCAGATTTATATTGATGC